AAACGACTTCCCCGTTTGGACCAAATGTTTCGTGAGGTGAGGTGAGTCGAAACAAACTGCCGAGCAGCCAGAGACGTGCAATTCATCTACGGCAGCTGAATGATGGATCCGTAAATCATCGGAAACCACCAACACTGGAAATATCTGAGGAGTAGCCGCACATTTGAGAAAGGAGGACAAATATTTCCATGCTCCTTAAAGTACAGCTCACAGCTATGAGCGTGACACAGTAAAAGGATGTTGAAATCCAAAAAGAGTTGTTGGGATGAAGCAAACGGTAAGAGAGGAGAGAAGGGGGAGAGGAGGAAACAAGGAGAGGAGAGAGGAAAGGAGTACAGAGAAGAGGAAACAAGGATAGAAGAGGCAAAACAAGGAGAGGAGAAATGAGGAGAAGAGAGGACACAATGATAGAAGGAGAGAAACTAGGAGAGAAGAGGGGAGACGAGGATAGAAGAGGAGAAACAAGGATAGGAGGAGACATTAGGAGAAAAGTGGGGAAGCGAGGATAGAAGAGGAGAAATGAGGAGAAGAGAGAGGACACAATGATAGGAGAGAAACTAGGAGATGAAAGGAGAGGAGAAACAAGGAGAGAAGAGGGCAGATGAGGATAGAAGAGGAGAAACAAGGAGAGGAGAGGAAAAACAAGGATAGGAGAGGAGAAGTTAGAAGGGGAGACAAGATAGAAGAAGAGAACTGAGGGGAGAAGAGAGGAGAGAATGGGGTAGAAACAAGGAGAGGAGGGGACAGGAGAAAAAAACGAGAGAAGTGAAGAGAGGAGAGACAAGGATAGAAGAGGATAAACAAGGAGAGAAGAGAGGAGACAAGGATAGAGGAAGGGAAACAAGGAAAGGAGAGTGCTGTGTTCAAAGATCCAAAGTAGACACTTGGAAAACTTGAGACAGTTTTTGGTTCAAACCACAAAATGAAATGAATTAGAAGTCAAAACCAAAAGAGATTAAGTGAGACCACCTTGAGTCTGACATGTTCTGCCCTTAAAGCATAATCTTACCTCATATTAATCCTGCTACTCAAAGGCTCCTAGCCTTCAAAACAAACTTCTTTCCCTTTACTTCTCCTCCTCCCTTCCTTTCATTTCCTCGTTCCAGGATCAGCTACTGTTACTGTTGTCCCACACCCTTCCTCGTCTTCATCGTCTACACTAAATCTTTGTACTTGTCATAACTTGACAGCCTTATCAGTTCGACTATTATCTCCCGCTTAAACCCTTACAATATATGACCGCATATTGGATGGTAGCATGAGAGAAAACTCAAAAGAAAGGGAGAGAAAATAAATCACTGCTGAGCGGAGCATGCAGCCCGGCACCCCAGCTGTGAAAACCTCCAATAACACGAGAAAGAGTAAAAGATTCCTCAGAGTCCCGTTACTCCACTTATTGAATTTTTACAACCTGGTGGTTTTACAGCCAGGCACTTGGCTCCACCAACACATTTCGTGCCATTGCCACTCCTCGGTCCAGAAAAACAGAAGAAGGGAGAGACAGACAGACGGAGAGCGAGACAGCTGGTTGAATCATCCATCTCACCCACAGCTCTCTGCTTTTATGATCTCTGTCTGCGTTCAGGAAAGACTCTGTGTGTGTGTGTGTGTGTGTGTGTGTGTGTGTGTCAGATGATTGTGTACCACCGCGGACAGACATGTTTATCACATAACCGCATACGGGAACCACACACAATCTGTCCTCGATCGCTCCGGTGTCAATGAGAGACCTGCCTGTAGTTTTGTGGTTTTGAAATTGGGGGTGGGGGGGGGTGAGAGCTCACACCTTCACACAAAACAAAGGTGCCACAGTTTCACTACTGTAAAGTGGTGGGAATACAGTATTGTGATACCACTGATGACTCAGTTGTTGCCAACAGTGAATTCCATTCGAGTGGCTCATAACAGCGTCCGAGAAAACAACCGTGAACCTGAACTCTAACCGTCTGGCCCAAAACACCCACAAGGCCAAATATCAGTCAACAGGGTTCAGAAATACGGGGGAGTTATGAGGAGCTCCGCTGAATGAGACACAAGCTCTCCAGAAAGCCAAATTTGAGAAATGCAGGGGGAGCTCTACAATACTGTCATTTTTGGTGCCAAAAAAATTGATATATAAGCCAATAGTAAAGCACTCGTCAACGTGTGTGTTTACTCGCATATTCCATTGCTGTCTATTCATGTGAGGAGCCACATTCAACGCACATTATGTCTTGAAGTCAACGACGCAGTTAAAACAAGTTTGTTGTGAGTGAAACGTGAAGCCGAAACATTATCAGTGTGTGATACCCAATAACGACTTGTTGTGAAACTCAGTAAGACATTCTCAGCCTGGATGCATAAACACATAGTTCAAGTTGATGCTAACGGCTCATTGGAGGTTTTACAGCCTGGAGAAATATCCTTCAGCAAAATTCACAACAGGTTTATGAAACTATGTGAGAAAATTATGACAAAAACATGAACTAGAATAAGACTAAAGCAAAAATAAAACAAAAAGACTAAAATGTTACTTTAAACCAACTTGAATTAACTAGACTAGACCTTCAAATGATGCAAACTTTTTTTTTTTAAATTTCATAAATCATTTTTCTCATAAAGAAGGTGACATTTGCCACTGGTTCATAGGTTTATAGTTCAGCGTTTAGTTCAACCGTCGATGGCACCACTGTACATTACCTTATATACCCGAACATTTTCACATTCTTTCATTCGCTTTGTGAGAGAGCGAGCAGCAATAGCAACTAACGGCCTTTACGGCATTAAGTACAGTTGTCAACAAAGAGGGATTTGCTGAAGAACAGGCAGTTGAAGGATCTTCTAAAAGCACAAAACAAACAAGGGGAACTGGTAGCAACCACGTAAGAGAGCCACTCTATAACCTTTCCCATTCAAAAGACAACGTACTATAGATATATACAGTGGGTACGGAAAGTATTCAGACCCCTTTACATTTTTCACTCTTTGTTTCATTGCAGCCATTTGCTAAAATCAAAAACGTTCATTTTATTTCTCATTAATGTACACTCAGCACCCCATCTTGACAGAAAAAAACAGAAATGTAGAAATTTTTGCAAATTTATTAAAAAAGAAAAACTGAAATATCACATGGTCATAAGTATTCAGACCCTTTGCTGTGACACTCATATTTAACTCACATGCTGTCCATTTCTTCTGATCCTCCTTGAGATGGTTCTACTCCTTCATTGGAGTCCAGCTGTGTTTAATTAAACTGATTGGACTTGATTAGGAAAGGCACACACCTGTCTATATAAGACCTTACAGCTCACAGTGCATGTCAGAGCAAATGAGAATCATGAGGTCGAAGGAACTGCCCAAGGAGCTCAGAGACAGAATTGTGGCAAGGCACAGATCTGGCCAAGGTTACAAAAGAATTTCTGCAGCACTCAAGGTTCCTAAGAGCACAGTGGCCTCCATAATCCTTAAATGGAAGAAGTTTGGGACGACCAGAACTCTTCCTAGACCTGGCCGTCCAGCCAAACTGAGCAATCGTGGAAGAAGCGCCTTGGTGAGAGACGTAAAGAAGAACCCAAAGATCACTGTGGCTGAGCTCCAGAGATGCAGTAGGGAGATGGGAGAAAGTTCCACAAAGTCAACTATCACTGCAGCCCTCCACCAGTCGGGGCTTTATGGCAGAGTGGCCCGACGGAAGCCTCTCCTCAGTGCAAGACATATGAAAGCCCGCATAGAGTTTGCCAAAAAACACATGAAGGACTCCCAGACTATGAGAAATAAGATTCTCTGGTCTGATGAGACCAAGATTGAACTTTTTGGCGTTAATTCTAAGCGGTATGTGTGGAGAAAACCAGGCCCTGCTCATCACCTGCCCAATACAATCCCAACAGTGAAACATGGTGGTGGCAGCATCATGCTATGGGGGTGTTTTTCAGCTGCAGGGACAGGACGACTGGTTGCAATTGAAGGAAAGATGAATGCGGCCAAGTACAGAGAGATCCTGGAAGAAAACCTCTTCCAGAGTGCTCTGGACCTCAGACTGGGCCGAAGGTTCACCTTCCAACAAGACAATGACCCTAAGCACACAGCTAAAATAACAAAGGAGTGGCTTCGGAACAACTCTGTGACCATTCTTGACTGGCCCAGCCAGAGCCCTGACCTAAACCCAATTGAGCATCTCTGGAGAGACCTGAAAATGGCTGTCCACCAACATTCACCATCCAACCTGACGGAACTGGAGAGGATCTGCAAGGAAGAATGGCAGAGGATCCCCAAATCCAGGTGTGAAAAACTTGTTGCATCATTCCCAAGAAGACTCATGGCTGTACTAGCTCAAAAGGGTGCTTCTACTCAATACTGAGCAAAGGGTCTGAATACTTATGGCCATGTGATATTTCAGTTTTTCTTTTTTAATAAATTTGCAAAAATGAAAAAAGATGGGGTGCTGAGTGTACATTAATGAGAAATAAAATGAACTTTTTTGATTTTAGCAAATGGCTGCAATGAAACAAAGAGTGAAAAATTTAAAGGGGTCTGAATACTTTCCGTACCCACATATGTGAGATGTGTTAGGTTTCATGTACAGGGTGTCTGTGTTCACACAACACGGAACGCAGATGTAGTGTGCTAAACCATTATTTCTGTGATAAATCATGAAGTGAACTGAGAATATTACAAAGATTATATCCAATACGGGGCCTTGATCTTAAAGTGGTAGCCTGAAAAATGTATAAAACATGAATGAGTGGTTTGTAGTTTGTTTGGCTACTGGTCAGAATTGGGTTCACTTTAAGCTCTAGTAATGTAATTAAGCCCTAAAAAATCTTTGATGATTGTATCTCGCCACCAGCCAGCTCACATTGTCAATTTAAAACTTGTACGGTAATGTGGCTGCTGAGTGATGTGGGCAATACTCTAAACACTTGCTATATTTGCACTTAACTCGGCTAGACATGCATCTCCTTTAACCGTGAGAAAAACAACAGGGGCCTTTTTTTTTTTTTTTTTTTTTTTTTACTTCTTACCGTGCCGCTAACCCTGACGTCAAAAAGCCGCCCCCAGTCATCTTCATGGCTGTCCACCATCATCATACTTTCATCTTCCTCCAGGAACCACTCTGCCTGCAGGTCAACCTTCACCTCCTCCCCCATGGAGTGCATCCCTACAGCGGGGAACAGCCCCTCTGCAGAAACGGGAACCTCCACTGAGCCCACCTGCACGAGAGAGGGAAGCGAGGAGACGACATTATGCGTACAGACAGTTGCTGCTGCATGCTTGAAACAAAGCATGATAGAATTTCGGATTAAACAACACCTACCTTATTGCCATTTTTGGTGAAAAAGACTATCGTAAAACCTGCTTCAATATTTTCTGAGTGTATTCCGCAGCCAATGCGGTCACCACGAGCACACTTTGGCCCAAATTGCTGTCCAACAGGGTTGCCATTGTATAACCTAGGAAGAGGGAAGAGATAGAAATCTTCATAACATTAAAGCGAGCTAGTTAAGGCAAAAAAAAAAAAGAACCATGCGATCATTATCCTTTTCATAACACACAGCAATAACGCATTTGGTCACTTCTGTGTTCTCTCCTGCAAGTTTTTTTTTTGCCATGTCATCACCATTCACATTTATTCACACAACAAATGTGTTTGAGATGAAACAGTTTATTAGCACCATGTAAAAATACTCTGTTACAAGTAATAGTCCTGCATTCAAAATGTTACTTTAGTACCAAAGTATTGGCATCAAAATGAACTTAAGAGTGGCCTCCATCATTGGATTATAGTTATTGATGCATTAATGTGTTCATCACTTTAATGTTGCGGCTGATAAATGTGGAGCTAATTCGGAAAATTACTTTATATACTTAATAATTAGACTATATACTACTTAATGAAACATAATGGTTTATTAGCAGATTAATATTTTATATCAAATGGAGAATCTGATTCTGCAAAGTAGCCCGCCTAGTAACTAATATTATCAAATAAATGTAGTGAAGTTAAAGGTTTAATATTGACCTCTGAGGTGTAGCGGAGTAGAAGTATTTTTAAATAATAAAAAGAATGGAAATACTCAAGTTAAGTACTTCAAAAATGTACTTGAATACAGTATTTGAGAAGCCTAAATATAACAAGAGCAAAATAATGTTGTTCTTCATAGATTTAGTCCATTCATTCTGCTCTCAAAATGCACTAATTTGATGCATTTAACTTTAAAATGTAAAAAATTATCTTCTGGGGGAGCATGCCCCACAGTCAACCATCAGTCTCGCAAAATCCTGAGGGAAACACTGATATTTATTAACTAAATAATTACTCAAAATGAATCTATATAGAAAGTACTTGAAAGTCAAAGCCCTACACATAATAATTATGCATATCATTTGGCAAAAAATTCTATTTCTGTGACCAACAAGCTTTATGCCGGTGAAAAATGCAAAGAGACGACAGTTATGTGTGGACGGAGCCCCGACTGACCACAATCCATTTTCTCAAAGCATGCAAGAAACCAACGCTGCACCGTAGCGAATAGATAAAAGTGTGGTTTGACTTACTTGCCGTTGTCAGCATGGTAAGCTACAGAGTATGGCAGCCAGCCAGGCTGGTGGTCCAGCCTGTAGAATTTAGGCACCAGGCCCACAGCAATGGTACCCCTCACCCCTGTGTCCGCTAATGTCACCTAGAGAGAGAGAGAGAGAGAGAGAGAGAGAGAGAGAGAGAGAGAGAGAGCGAGAAAACACAGTTCATATATTGTGGGAAACTTCACCTTTAATAAAAAACTAGACTCAGGAAAAGAAGCCCCTCAACTAGAAAATGCCTTTGTCTGTGTGGTCGCTGTGGGTCTTTGCAGGTATACAGAGTAAAGTGCTGATAAAAAAGAATTAAAAACATTGTATTTTGTCCGAATGATGGAAGTAGCTAAGGAGTGGGCCTTCTTATGTATTGTATTTGTGTTATAACATTGTACAGAACTTTGTTGAACTTATGCTCTATTTGAATGTTCCCTCTAAATAAAATAAACTTGAGCCATTTCACTTTCTTCGTGGACTCACGAGAACAAACAAAGTTTATAAGCTGAAGAGCAATCAATCATTCCAATTATCCTGAAAACAGGAGTTTAGTTGGCCGGCGTTGGCGAGGACAAAGCGCTAACGTATCACGCAGTTTGCCGCACGTTTGACAGCAAGGCGGATAAAACGTGACAAGTAACGTCCTTTGTTAGATAAAAGATAGATAAAACTGTTTGGGGCAAGTACACGTTTATGTCAAACTACATTCAAATCAGTGTCGCAAAGCTCACAAAGAAATAGCTAATAATAAGCATTATTAATATTATAAGAGGGAAGATTGGCCGCATGTTCTGATGAATAATGACTAACAGGTAGAGACAGGACTGTACAAAAGCCCCTTTGTGCAAGAGCACGAGACACATTGCTATGGGATCACTGACACACACGTTTTAATGGACTTAATGAACAGACGACGTAGAGTACACAGAGGTGGATACGAGCAGAGCAGCTTTTAACAGCTTTTGACCTATCGATCAGGTAAAATACCTGCGCCGACTTGTTGATCTACATAAATGCTAAAATCATATATCTGCTATCATAAAATCCTGTGGTCTTGGTTCATTTTAACCGAACCAAACTAAACGGTTTAGCTGAGAAAGACCCTCGACACTGTGCTGTACTTAAAGTCATTTACATGCAGCTGTCTTAAGTTGAAAACAAGCGACGTGCTTTTGTATCTGGTGATTTTTTTTGTGTCCGACAAAGCGGCAGTACACGGTTCACTGTTCAGTTTGTTGTGTTTAATTAAATCCAAGAGAACCATGGTGTGGAGTAACTCCGGGAGAGTTTGATGATTATGGTGATAATACTGTTTCCTGTGATACTGGCCACAGTAACAACAATAACCTCCTCTCCTCTAACATAACACCAGCCTGCCAGTGAAGCCCAATCACAGCAAAACGACACACACTACCGAGCAGAATTAGGTGAGAGGTGATGCAGGCAAACACAGGAGAACAGCCCCGCCCGGTGTGAGTCTGTTTTGTTTATCGCTGAAGTAAAATCCAGTTTTTCTTACTCTTCATCATGCCTTGGATTTCTTTCCCCTTTTCCCCATGTATCTGCCTCCCTCCTTCTCTACCTCCCTCTTCAGCCCAGACCCCCAAATCGCTGCTCCTGCATGACGACACATGTGAAACTAGACTTCTTGGGTTTCTCTGACGACACATTCCTTTTCAGTCCGGCACTTAAAGATTAACTGCACACACAAACGGGTTTTTTTAAGCTCTAAACTAAATGATATGACTGTACTTTTGACGAAACACATCAGTGCTGGTGTTAATATCGCTGGTGTTACCAAATTCATAATGGTTGAAAATGGCTTTGTAGCATTTAAAAATCCCAGTACAGCACAAGCCTGTTCTCTCCTTTCTGTTCTTGTAAAATCATCAGCACATTATAAAATCTGCTGAATCAATGAGAATGATTACCTGGCGATAGCGATGTTCTTTCCTACACTGTGACAAGAGAGTGTAGATGAAGTATTAAGTAGTTAAATTGTTCTCTGACAGCTGGCTAGTTAGCCATTATTGGCCTTCGCAGGTCCTCACTGCAACATGTAAACTGTTAACAAACCTTGTGTGTCTGAAGGATTTGGATAAAAGTTACAAAAACATGCGAGACGAGGAAAGAGCAGGAATGTGCCGTTAAGTTATGTCGATACGATTTTTTTTCTCAAATCAATCTATTAATGCTGCAGATGTTCCGCTCGAACAGATGATAGACCCGGAGATGGTGCAGCAGTCGTGGCAGAGGTGAAATGGATTCTCTATGAGTGCAGAACAAGAAAAAACACGAGGATAGCAGTGACGCATACCTCCAAAGGAACCTGCCCTTTATCAGCATAAACGCTCCAGAAGTTTTTATAGATATCTGGGAAAACTGACAGCATGTGCGTCACACGGTAGAGAATAATATAGAAAATAAAAACTCTGGGTAATGAACACAGCAAAATATATATCAGGCTCCAAATGTGATTCTCATTTAAGCATGAACGCTGTTATCGTTAAGAGTTGCTTGCTGGAGGAGGAGAGGGAGTGATCTGGAGGTCAGATGAGAATTTGACATCACATTTAATGAAAATGGTCACATCTGGCACACCTCACATCAGCCACGATAAATAATGTCAGAGCACGTTGTCAACCTGTTTATAATCTCGCTGAAGCAGATCTGAAATGTTTCAACATACGTCTAAAGTTGTGCTTCTCGTCTCAAAAAAAAAAAAGGAAAACAAAAAATCTGAAAAGAACAGTGGAAGAAGTAAATCATTTACGCCGATGCTGCAAAGTCCCGTCTGGCTCTATTTGCAGCTCAGCAGAATGACGCAGGTTTCGCAGGATAATGCACAGCCCTAACGTTTCCTTCTGACACCTAAAGAAAACCCAGACGAGGAAGTACGTCCGTCCTCACCTGTCGTCTCATGAACACACGTCACAAGGCCTGTTCCGACGCGCACCATCGACAAACACGCTGGCTCGTCGCCTTATTTATGACTAACTCTTGCAACTTTCCTGTGCTAAATCACCCCCCCCCAAAAAAAGTTTTGCCTCACACTCTTCTGTATAAGAACCATTACAACGGTCTGATACAGATTACGGATAGTTTCTCCTGCTGCCAGTCTGCAGAAAAACAGTGTGTGTTAGAGTAATCTCTGTGCTCAAAGATACCACCTAACCCACACAACCTCTCCCTCATTCCAATGCAGCTCGGAAATTCTTGAGGTAGTGGTTTTGCACTGGTGAACTGGGACTGTAGAGGGGGGCACTCAGAACTTAATATGAAGTTGAGAAAAATTGTCAGCAATGGGATTCCAGGGGATAAAATTGCTGGCTGGATGGTAAAGCGATCTTGGGCACACACACACACACAAAGGGACGATGGTATGTGGTAAGCCTATCACATTGTGAATAATCCCCCACCCCAGCGTTTCAAAATGAATGGTGAACAGTTATTTTCTAAATGACTACCACATATCCAAGAAAAAGTGGACAAACAAAAAGCAACAGTTGAAAAGAACATATTTGAGATGGTCAGGTCTTGCAGATCAGCTACAATAACAACATTGGACGCTAACTTACAGCATCACCATCAATGAGCCTTACCTCAAAGTAGCAGTTTCCCTTTGATAAAGGATGGCCTGCCACATAGCAACCCACCTCCTCAGAGTTCCCTTGGTAACTAAAGAGAAGAAATCGACAGGTTGACAATAGGTGACTTCTAATAGGTCCAAATTCTCAGAAACACATGTTGAAGAACAACCTCATCCTCTCATCGGAAGATTGTCGAGGCACCATCTGTATAACCAAATGCACCAGACGTGCAACAGAAACGAGACTAAAATATGTTCCCAGTTACAATTAAATGATGTAGAGCTGCTCTTTAGCATGATGATTAGAGGAAGACGTATCAAATGACACGCACGTGGTTATTGTGTTATTACTGTTTTATAACATATGATGTCCACCAGCTTTATATAAGGGATGTTTTGTTAGGGAGTGAAACTGGAGATGGACAAATAAATATTTTCCTGAGAACCACTGAAGCTTCTGAAGCTTTGTATGAGAAATGAAATGTGTTGAGTGTTTCACACAGTATTGAGCAGCTAGATCAAATGCCACCTTTAGAATAAGGAATCACATTCACACTTTTAGAAATAATTGCATAGGTACAGTATGGATCTCTGAGGTTTACAGTCAAACAAGAAACTAAACTCACCTCAAACTATTTTCTGGTTTCAGTTGGGATAGTGTTGATGTTTGAGAAGAATACTGTGCCTGTAATGTTATAATGACCTCAAAACAAGCCTCCATTGACAGTGCTTCTGTGGTCGGCAGTAGACTTGTTTAGGTTTATTAATGCGGAAGACAAATCAAATGTGAACACAAACTATGCCCCTCAAGCTATCTGTCTTCCATCCACCACCGTTGTTAGTCAGTCATATTAACACCCTATTCTTATAAAACACATTCAAAGTTTTGAGATGGGTACTACAAACTAGTAAAATCCTCTCAGAGGCCAAATATCTCCTAGCTAGGATACCGGTCTGATCTGTTGTAGCAAAGCAGATACAGACCTTGTTAATTCAATCACATATAGATTTTTACTTCAGGGCGTCTGTTCATCTGTGCATTTCTCTACTATACTTCTATAGTATGGTGTGGTCAGCATGTTGATGCATAGCAACATGCTAAAACTTCACTTCATTCTGAGCCATTTAAATGAACAGAAACACACGGTCCATACGAATGATTATAAAAGAAGAAAAAATGTCCGTCTAATATCTTGCTATCTACACAAGAGAAAAAATATTCTAAAATGTGTAATAAACCCAAAATACCACAAACAAGTTTTGCCACTCCAAAAATAAAAAGGCCGCCAATGAGTCGGCAGAGGAAGCCAAACACAGTATAACACAGAAGCATCGTACAGCCATGCACTGTAAGGCGGACCTGAGCGTGTCTCCATCCTTCTGCAGCCTCATGTATCGTTCCTGTGCAGGGCGCCCATCCCCAATGTCTCTGATTCGACGTCTCAGATTCAGGAGGCATCTGTGGTGTAGTACATTGATGTCATCCATCTGAATGAAGAAGAAAAAATGGAACAATAGGGGGGGGGGGGGGGGGGGGGGACACATTACCACAAGTTCAGCAGCAATGTTTGCAAATCACTGATAAACTGCAACTAACAGGGATTTCCTCAATGAAGGGATTCATTATTGTTCTATAAAATGTCAGAAAATTGCCCATCAGTGTTTCCTGAGGCCTAGTGTGACATGTGACAGTCCAAAATCTAATTATATACATTGTATAACCACAAACAACAGACAAAGAAAATGAGCAAATCCTCACAATCGAGAAGCTGAAAACTAGGGAATGTTTGGCGATGTTTTTCCATCGATCAACTAACCCGACAAAACAACAAATGGTTTCTTCTGAACATATATATTATTTAAAAAGGTACAACTAAGTTTGCACAATTAACAGGCTAACAAGACTACGAACAAGCTATACATTTATACTGCATTTATGTATTTGTACAGCCTCATTTTCACTCTCTCCATATGTTAATGTATACAGTGCATTATGAGGTTTACCACTATTATTGTAATGTTTCATTCACAATCATTAATAATGAATTCATCAGCACTGCTTGTTTATAACCCCAGAGTGAGGTAATTATATGCGATGTTGTTCTTTGCTGTATTTCTTTTAAGAAAAGCTATTAAAACCTTCAATCTTTGTACCTTGTCTGACATTTTTATTAACTGATTTATGATCGTACTCTGTTCTCCTGACATTATCCGTGTAAGTATTTGTTTTATGTTTGACATGATGTTTGCCAATAAAACATCAAAACACAGAATTAATAAAAAGATAAGAGGGGATGATGTCAACTCATGTGCCAATGAAACATGTATTTGCAAGACGAAACAGATGACCAACCCCAAAACACACACACTCTCTCACGCCCACACAATGCATTGATTGTAACGACCCCTCTATGCATTGATTGTAACGATCGTATTTGGTTGCTTCTGATTTGGGACGTCGTTCAGTGACGTTTGATGATTCAGTGAGGGCAAAGTAAAACACGTCCAACTGCCACACCGTGTCCCACTTTCTCTCAAAACCCCATTCAGTTATCTTTCTAATTATCTAAAGGAATAAATCAAAAAACGTCAAAGTGCCGCAGCGAGAGGAAGGTGGGCGTGCCAGTGTTTACATCTAAGGAAACAGTGCTAACGATGAAGCTAACTGAAATGAAGCTAGCATGAATGTTTGGGCAGTTAACCGCCCTTATTTCAGCTGAAAACGGGCTCGTAGCTTTATGTCAATCAAAGCATATTTTTAAAAGGCGTTTATCCACTCGTCAGTTGGTGACGAGAGGTTACTTTAGCCTCGAAGCTACACATGGGCTAGCAACAGTAGCGCCTGACGTGATGTGTGCTTTGAAGCTGAGGTGCGGTGCTTAGCAAAGAGAGTGACTGTTTCTAAAAATGGAGCGCAGAAGAATGATTTATTACAGGTGTCATGATCGATGAGTCCATCGCTTACCTGTTATTTTGGCGGCTAATACGACAGAAACTCACTTTTTTGCCTATCAGCTGCCCATAGCTCCTCATAAAAAAAAAAACTTTGGAAACTAGAGTTCGGCGCATCCAAGTGACGTCACACTTTCGATACTGATACAGCCAATCGTATCGCGTCCTGAGAAATGGTGACAAGCTTTCAGCCAATCCTGTCTCTCAGATTTTGTGCGCGAGTGTGTGTGTCCTATATGACGAATGTACCCACATTTTTAAACAATGTAAATATTAAGTAGGTCTTAATAGGATGAATCCTTTCAAACCCCACTTGACGGACAACATAAAGCATTTCCCACTTCCTGTTTGCGATGTGTTTCAGGCAGTGGTGAAAGAATTGGTCAGATCTTTAACTGAAGAAAAAATGTAAAAGTAGCCAGTATTAACATAAAAATATGCTGAAGTCCCAAAAGTAAAAGTACTCTTTGTGCAGAATGGCTCACTTCAGCATCATATAATTGATCACTGAATTATAATTAGCGATGCATTAATGTGTACATCACTTTAATGTTGTAGCTGGTAAAGGTTGGGCTGATTCTAATTAGTTTATATTCTGCTGGGTAGCTTAACCTACAATAATATATCATAATTATTTAGTTGATTTATATTTTGTATTATTAATCTGAATCTAGAAAGAAACTAAAGCTGTCAAACATAGTGGATTAAATAGTGCAATATTTGCCTCAAATCTGTAGTGGGGTAGAAATATACAGTAGCATGAAATGGAAATACTCAAAAGTACAAGTTAAGTACTTGAGTATGTTCTTACTGTAGTTGCATTCGCCCACTGGTTTCATGATCCTAAACTGAAATGTCAACAGCTTAACAGAAGCTCAGGGAGATACTTCCCAACAGGGCAGAACAGTGTCCCATCACAGGGTTTTGTGTGGATTCTGGTTGCTATGTTGAAGTGGCAGAAAAGAGACTCTCTGAGCCAGCTGGGATAGACTTCAGCCGGAGAGGCAGAGAGGAGGAAGAAGCTGAGTGGCTGGAAGAGGAAAAATTAAAAATCCAAGTGCAGGGTGGAAAAGAGAGCCCCCGTTGGTCTGGCGTGTGTCTTGGAACATTCTCCTGATACGTGGAAACAAACTAGCTCTCGAGGTAATAGGAACACAGGACGGCAGGTGATTTCAGTCCTCCTTGCCAAGATTAATCAGAACAACAGGCTGCTGATGGCAAGGCAGATTTTGGCCTCATGTAGCCCTGCATTCCAGTGGGAAGTACAGGCCAGTTGGTATGTCTGTGTGTGTGCTTTGCCATGTCTGTACTTCTACTGCTGGAGCAAATTACCCAGTGTCGGGCGAACTGCAGTGTGTGTGTGTGTGTGTGTGTGTGTGTGTGTGTGTGTGTGCGTGCATGTGTGCGTGTGTGTGCATAAATGCCCTGCTGGTATTAAAGGTACCATTACTAGTCAGCATTGTCAGATTGATACCCAAATTCTATTTGTGCTCTGTGAAATACTGATTTAGTTTCGGGTTTTTTGTATCGTGTACATGTTGCATCTGTCCACAGAGCGCCCATTGCACCGAGGCAATGGAGGGGACAATGAGAATCCAGATAAGAGAGGAATTTCTCAACACTCTTCAATGGTCTTCTGTGCAGATCCTTGACTTTGCTTCCAATCAAACCAAAATATTTGCTCGAATATAACTACTGATAGCTTACATTTTATAGTGGTTATAATAGAATAAACCCTCTATAAACTTTATCAGAACAGAACTGGGTGTTGGAGAATACTTCACGGTCTTCTAACGTATTCTAACTGCATGTATAATTGAGTATAACAACATCATTCATATATCCAACAAATAAACTGTATTTATATTCAAAATACTTTACAGAACAGTGCTGACATGACAGATCAAGTGTTGTGTGTTGAGCAGACGAAGGACTTAGTCGTGATCTTTTGAAGCTGGCATCAGTGTAAACACTCCTAACTGGCTGAGTGGAGCGATGGATTGCGTTATTAGCAATTTTGCTCGGGCTGGTCGATGTGCATTCCTGCAAAAGTGAGCTCGCCTCCTCCTAATTATCCAGATGATTATTCTTCCAATTCAAACAACTGGTGAGTGAAATCCTTCATTGCCTTCACACTTCAAAATGTTATATAGTCTCTGAGGACCGTTGATATCTTATGGCTGCTCAAATAGAAGTTTACTGGATTAGCCTCCTTAAAGAGGCAATGCACTACATACTGTATCTGACTCAGCAGCGATGAGGCACAGTGTCGGTTAGTGTATGCTACGTAAAGTAATGCTACACTGATATTTGGTAATATAAGTGCATTCAGGATATCACTGTCTTCATTTATTTTCCCCTTTGATATAGTTGGCATACAACTCATTAATTCAACATACTCTAAACTTTGATGTATGTGTTTCTGTTATTTGACAAAAAATACTCAGCTGTATCATTGCATCTTTGTCCAGGGTTTATTCTCTAAAGAATCCAGCGAGGAGAAATTACACAGCTGTGGATCTCCTGTAGCGAATGGCATTGCAGTGGCGAGGCTGATGAACGCACATATACATTTGTATTTGTTACCATGGCAAACATTATTCTAGAAAGGTCTCTGACACTGAAAGAAAGTGCAAAAAGCCGAATATGACTACTACTGTTTAAGCATTTGTAATGTTAAGCATGAGTGAAAGAAGGACTGGATGAATGTGTTAGTGTATAACAGAAAAGGGTGGAGAGATTTTGATCATTTCTGAAAGGAACATAATCCACCCCCCACTTGCTCTCTCCCTCCCTGCCACCTCCTTCTCTCTCTCTCTCTCTCTCTCTCTCTCTCTCTCTCTCTCTCTCTCTCTCTCTCTTTCTGAGTCCCAGCCCCTGAAGGTGTCATAACTATGCTCTCTCTCTCTCTCTCTCTCTCTCTCTCTCTCTCTCTCTCTCTCTCTCTCTCTCTCTCTCTCTCTCTCTCTCTCTCTCTCTCTCTCTCTCTCTCTCTCTCTCTCTCTCTCTCTCTCTCTCTCTCTCTCTCTCTCTCTCTCTCT